CCGATCACACACACACACACACATACACAGATATATATATATATATATATATGATTGATGAGTAGTATTTCGAGCCAAAACGAGCCTAACACGATGGAACACATCTTAGTTTGTGTTCGGCTCATTAACTTATCGAACAAAATTAACGAGCCGAACACGAGTTGTTCGCGAACAACGAGCCGTTTTGACAGCCCTAATTGTAATTTCTACACATGTTGCACAGGGAGTTATTGAGATTGACAGACTTGAGCAGCATGAGAAAATGTTAGTAGGGCACAACATTAATATGATAGTTTCTTCACAGGCTCATTCATGTTTCCAACATGTCAGCTCAAACCTTCTATTTTCAGAGTTCGCAGTGTAGGTTACATCTATAAAGTTGAAATATGGGAAGTTCAACCCACTCAAAGCACTATCCATCAAGTGAGCTATGAAATATCTGATTTTATGGAAACAAAAGCTGATGCTGTGGAGCAGACTGGGTAGTTGGACTATCAAACCATTGTCTGTTGCAACGGAATTTATCAGATTGGCCAAATTAATTCTACTTGACGACATATACCCAGTTTTCCACATGGATATATTAGATGAGTTCAATACATTTCGCAACCACAAAAGAATAAATTGAAAAAGATGAGGATTTATGAGGCTATGTATATCTTTATGTTTAAATTTATGAGAATTCGTCCTTCATGGATCAAAGTAATAAATGAATTATGAGACTCTGCCACAAACACATGTTTAATGAGTTAGAGAGGTTGACAATGAAGAATGTATCCAACATGATGAAAAATTATTCCGCTGACAATATTCTGCCGCCGGGATAGACGAGATGAATTGATTTTGTCGACGTCTTTCCAAAAAATTTTAAGTTTATCAATAATTTTACAAAGCATTAAGATTGCCAATGCGCTCCCAGGATACTATTCCACTAGATATTTGATTTGTAATTTTCTCCAAAATGATTGTTTGGACCAGCACACTGTGAAGCTATATGACCCTTTTGAATTTGGTGCAACATGAGCAGACGACCTAACAGAGACATTCCTAAAATTTTTTATAGATATCAGGTATATATCTATTCCTAGTATGACTAACGACTTATTTTTAGTAGAATTTTTTGTCAAATGATTATGCATTTTTGATCTTCCTACCAAAGGAGTCTCTATTAAATCCAGTGTTTTATCAGTCACTGGCCTGATTTCTCATGGTGAATGGATTTCTTTGACTCTTGTGATCCTCGTATGGATATGTAAGGTTTTTAAAATAAAGTCAGTCTCTCTTTATAATCAGGACATCTTACTTTGGTGCTATATTCATGTTTAGATTCATATTCATATTTGTAGGGCATTTAAGAAAATTTAAAAAAAAAATTACAATTAAAAAACTAAATTTTTAAATTTTTAAATTAAATATTTGTGAGGCATTTAGCTACCTAGAGTATCATTTATATTTTTTGGAGAAAAACTATCATATTATCATGTACTTGTCAAAAACACAATCTACCTTAAAGCAAAAACGAGTACAAGATTTATTCCTTGCTCCTAATTTAACACTTGGTCAATTTTACTTAGTCTAGCAATCATACGTGGGTGATTCCAAAAAATATGATTAGAAATAACCTAATTGACAATATTGATCGTGTAAGCAGATCTATATTATTCTTTGAAAGACGATTATAACTAGTAGAGTATTTCATTAATATGAACCTTGGATGGTTGTGTTTTCGCTCTGGCCAATAAATAGTTCTAAAAAGGAACCAACCCAACAAGATTGTTAGGCGGTTCGGTTTTTCTCAAGCAACTACATACGACGGGTTATCCCTCGTTCCCGATATTGGTTGATTCTGGTCTGATATGATATTTACGTTTAGAGACGAGGGGTATGTTGCTTCCATGATGTGAACTCACTTGCTCAGACTAGATATTCAGCCAGGATTATTTATAGTTGTACCAAATTGTCCCACAAGAATATACTCAGTTGACTTTAGTGTAATTGTCTTTATTGCTTTTACATAACACTCAAAAATATGAAAGGCAAGTATGATCATTAGGTAACCCTAAAGAGCAAAGGAATTTACGAGACATTATTTCTAAACTACATTCAAGGTCATCGAAACACTACACTGTTTTACCTCTGACGTCGCAATTGAGATATTTAGAAGCACTGTGTCATGATATAGAGTTTCTCATCAAAAAATTACAGTCACTTGCTATAGTTCGATCAAAAATCATTCGAGCTTGATAGCATCGCTATCAAGTTATAGGACTTATGAGAGAAGGTCACGAGCTTGATATCTTTTAAGTCAGATCTCGAAATAGAATGAGATAGACAAGGCTCGATTGATGGAGAGGGAGCAGCGTCATTATCAAACTCATGATCAAGTTATGTTGATTGCTAAGGCTACAGAGTGGAGACCAAAGGACGGTGGAGGGTAGCAACTAATAGGTGGTGGTTGCAAAGGTAGGCTACATTTCATAATGTATTTGGAAATCACTCAAATCCAACGAATTTGGAATACACTAATTTTGAACTATGGGATGAATTCCAAATTCATCAAAATTTTACAATATGCTCCGCTTTCATCCAACCAAATGCTAAAATATTAAAACCTTCGCATTTCGTTTACTTTACCCCAAAATTCATCAAAGCAAACAACCCCTTAGTCAAAAATGATGTGCATGTCATGCTACATCACAGATACACTTAAGTTTAGTCAAAAGGGAGGAGAACTGCAACTTCTTAAATATGAGGAGAAAATTTGCAAAATTATCATTTGATAACGGCAAGATAAAATGTTTAAGTCTACCCTAGACAACAAAAATTTAAAACTTGAACCACATCACTAGTTACATAGGATAGCATGGCTGGCTAAAATTGGTATTTTTGTGATCTAAAAGAGTTTAGTTCACTTTCAATGAGCTACTTAGTCTAATAGAATTTGGCAATGCACCCTTATGGATGCGGATCATGTTATTTTGAGTAGAAATTGACCATTTGATCTTAATGTTACTCCATTTGGAAGGTCTAATGTTTAAGCATTCAAGGTAAATGAAAGAAGGATAGGTTTAAAGCACAGAAACCTATAGAAGGTCTGAAATTGCATTAAAAAAAAAGACAATTTAACCAATAAAGTAAAAAAAAAAACATTACATTTTCAAAAAATAACACGTATTTGAGAAAAAAGTACACAAAAGGGTGGTCTGATCTATATTGTAGTAGCTATTGATCCGTCTGATTTTGTGTATGATGTTTCGTTTTTGTTAGATAATGTTAAATGCTAATTAATTTTTCAAATTAAGTGCAAATCAGCTTCCTAACAAATTACTATTGCTTACAGACATAATATGTCAGTTATGGATCATTAAGTCTAATTTCCCTCAAGAAAAAAGAAAACTAACTAAACTAGCCTAATCCCATGTCAACCCAAATAAACAAATCTAATTAGAAGAGAAAACATAATTTTATAGGCATTTCCATCATAAACAGATCTACAAATAAGTGAATGGAGAGAGCAACAAAATAAAGTAAAATAAAACAACAAAAGTAAACTTACATGAGTCATTTTCTTCTCAGCATTTCTGAGTGTAAACATGGAAATATCCATCAAATCAGCTTGGCTTGGACAAATTCAGCCCTGAATAATTTAGCATTTGGAGTTGATCAAACAGATCAGAGCATAAACTATGCACTTCCTGAAAATTAATCCATGAGTCAAAATAAATAGATATATTACACCAACACAAGATACTTTTGGAATCCACTATGAGTAGTGGCATAATTCCGTCATCTAGAATTGTTGTAGGATCAAACAATATAAGTTTGTCTAGAAAAATATTGGACTCAAATTTACAAGGTAGATGTAGAATAATCCAATGAACTGCCAATAGGTTGGTGAAGTAATGTCAAATCATACATTTTGAAGACCGGACTAGTACCAAAAAAATATATAATTTCTAATTTAGAGGTGTTACTTCCGATATGCTATAGGATCTTAAATGACTCTTCCTTTCTCATATGTAAAGGTTACTAAAGAAAGCATGTTCATGTTTGAATTGAAATGCACCATTGATTTATCCCATGACTTGAATTCCATTAGCTACATATTTAAATCTTATAATTGTCATAATTAGCTGTCGAATTCTTATGAATATCCTCATGAAAACCATTCATATCTTGTGTCGATGATTTTGCAAATGCACTAGGCCCATACTCAAAAAAATAAATAATTAATTAAATTAAATTAAAAAAAACGCAATAAAACGTATAGGTTTTCTATTGATTGAAACTAAACTTTAAAATTGCACAATAAGTGGTGTTTAAGTGTGCAATAAGAGCATGCTTCAGCCTGTACCTCAGCATAATTTTGGAACATGAGAAGAGTAGGGCTGTCGAAAATTCATTCGCAAATAGCTCATATTTGGCTCCTTAAGTAGCGAGTATTTGAATTGTTTGTTAAGTAAACGAGCCAAACACAAACAATTTTTTTAAGCTTGAATTATAAACGAGACAACACGAACAACCCTTTGTTCGATCGTGTTCGGCTCATTTTAACTCGAAATAAGAAAATTATATATATTATTGATATAATAATATATTATATGCATATATATATCTAAGTTTAAATCACCACAACTCATGTTATCATGTGGTTTTATGTCTTTTATTGCATAGGAGTGGTGCATATATGAATTCAATGCCCTACATCAATTTTTATAATCAAGTTAAGCAAACCAATTCGAGCCAAAAACGAGCTGAAAAATGAACAAGTATATTTTTTTGAGCCAAACACGAATAGACTGTTTAGGAGCCAGTTTCTAAAATAAAAATAAAAAAGAGTCGAACACGAACAAATGTTTAGCTCGCTCAAGCTAGACTCGTTTACATCCCTAGAGAAAGGTATAGGCCTCGCCTGGGCCTAAAAGCATGAATGTCTCAATAAAGCTAAATAGTGCCTCTGCACAATATTCATAAAAGGTGCAAGCCTCAAAAACTTGGGTAAAGTTCCACAAAATATAACATTTAACAACAAGTAAAATATTCCCCAAATAACTTTTAAACTTTGTTGGTTAAGTTTCACAAATTTTATATAACATGCTGATTAGGTTTCTTAAGAGAAAGAAATAGTTAAGTGGTAGATTCAATTTGAAGATGGCACTCCTATACTACCAAAATTTATAACAAATTATTGAAGCTTACATGCTTATCATCACAGTGTGGGCATAATTGCAAGTATAACCAAGTTCATAAGAAAAGAAGAAATTATTTGATTACCTTAAGGATGAACTCATTGGTTTACAATATGTATAATAAAAGATTAAAAGATAAGAATCTAAAATAAGGCAATCCTAGACTATGATAAAAATTCATTAGTTTGTAATGATGTTCCATCACATGAAAAATGATTTTTTGAAGACGAAAGTGAAGCTAAATTCATAATTTATAATCTTAGTGACTTAAACTGCGTGTTTATATTGACTTAAGAGCAGAAGAGCTTAGTAATTATGATCTTATTTTGACTTGCTATAAACTTACTTCAATGTAAATATATTGCTTAATACTTAATATTTTTATTATTTTAATTGTTTATCTAAGACTTATGCCTCAAATAGCCTTGACATATGCACCTCATCTCGTGAATAAAAAAAGTATCAATGCTAGATTTCACAATTTCAAACCTTGGTTGAAATGTTGTGACAACTTCAAAGCAGCATATATGAACATAGACTTGTAGATGGATATGTATGAAAATATTAAATCCCAACCATATGCATTATCTTTTAATTTCAATTTTATATATTTTCAAATTTACACCTCAAGAAAATAAATTTGTGTAGTTATGATCTTTGATCAGCTAAATCCTACTTGTGAGAGATCTACAATCATTACATTATTCCAATTGCATCAAGATCCCTAGAAGTGCCATGCATTATCTTTTAGGAGATCCACAACCATATGCATTATCTTTTAGGAGTGCCATGCATCACTGTATACTGTAAAATTCTACAAGTGATGATTCATGGATACATCAACAAGAAATTCCACAATTATGCCCAATTTGTAAAGATGAGTAACCAATTTGTATAGATGAGTAACTAAATTCATTATAACTAAATTTTCCAAATATAGACTCAGTCAAAACTATATTTGCAAGTCATAATGGCATCTTATTACTACAGCTTTTGTTATCCTTTTAATAAGTAGAGCAAAATTAATTATTGTTATGATTACTCGGTTGTATGAAATTTGTTTCAACAACACTACTTCAATGTAGAAGGGTATATTTTCTATTGAACTGGTTTGTCAATTATATGGAGTTTGTTTCTTTAGTTCTATTTTTATAAATCATTCCTCGTGGTTTCTGGGTTAAATGCCATTTGCGACATTAATTGAAACCTATTTGGAAGGACTTGTAAAGGCTGTTTACTAATTTATTCACGACTGTTTATTCAAAGTTAGAACCACACAAGACAGCTGCTTTGGGTGACTTTCTTGGACAATTTTCTTTGACTCTAATAAGGATTCATAAACAACCATAAAAAATTGAAAAGAAGAAACTTATATGTTAATAAAAACATGCTTTTGGATGGTCAAATTCTTCTCCGCTCTAAGAATGGAGGTTTTAGAATTTCAAGAGAGGGTCTATTCATATAATGGTGAAGCTTTTCTTTAAGTGAATAATCCCCTTTCTTTCTATATCTTTCTTCTTCTAACAATTTTCATTACTACTTGAAAGGATAACTGAATTTATTTAAGTTCGCTACAACATTATTTTTTTAAATACATGAGATTTCAATCATTTATGTCACTACATTAATTGCTAGCAGTAGGCCAAAACTCTTTTACTCTAGAACTTTAGTTTTATCTTTTTTTCTCTTTCTTTTTCAATTTTTTTCACAAGTAGTTGTATAAGGATTACTAATTTAATTCCATGAAAATAGCATTCAAGTATTTAGTGCACCAAAATCAACAATTCATATTAGATTTATATTAAAAATCCAAACCCCTTGAGCCAAAATTTGATAAAATAATAGAAGAAAAAGCAGTGAAACGTCCAGCAGGAGTTATATTTCAATTGGAATAATGATGTCAATCAAGCCCAAAGAAGCAACAACATGTTCTACAAAACCAGTTTCATAAATGTAATCACCATAGCAACAAAGGAACATATAGGCTACAAAAAGTTCATAGGCATTACAAAGATTGTTCAGGAATTGTAGCATCACATAAATGCCCATAGAAGATGACCGAAAAGTCAAGCTAATAGACTGATCAGCGAAAAAAACAACACTCGATCATGCATTGAATGGCTTAATAATACAAACATGTTTCTTAAGAAAAAAGAAAATCATACCGGTGGTTTAAAAATCAAAAGCATCCCTCAAACTGTACTCTGAAACTCTAAATATTATTAGAATGATGTACTACTGCCTTCTTTGTCTCTTTATTCTCTCGAGGGCACCTAAAGGAGCATTCGCCCCATTTTCCTCAGAAACAGCATCTTTCTCCTTATCTAAAGTAACTTTGTGTGCCAACTCTCCAAAAACAGTAGCGGGTACACCCTTTTGAGCTATCTCAATTTTCTCATCATCTGAATCACTTTCTTCTGGTAACTCGATATCCTCACTGTTAGCATTTACCTTCTTCTCATTGTTAGGCCGTGACTCCACTCCAGCGCTTACAAAGTTCATCATTCTGCTTTCATCTTTAACAGACAAGTCAGCAGATGAAGAGGCCAATTGTCTTTCTAAAGAAGCCATTTCATCTTCAGGAACTCCTGCCCTCTTGAGAGTGTCCACTGCTTCTTCTAGGTTCAATTTCTGATCTTTTTGCATTAAATATTCAGGAAGGATCATATGAGTCTGCAAAAGTTGAATGATAAAATAAAATAAAATTTGTTTCATAAACATCATCAAATCTCAGAAAGGATCATGTGAATCTTCAAAAGACATGTAATAGAAAAGAAGGCGAGAAGATATTATTAACACTGCTACATCAATTGATTTTGAAAGCTTACCTGACTAAAGCTAGCTAAGACACTGCGTTTAACGCGAAGCATCTCTCTAAATGTATCCTCATTACCGTGCTGAACTTCGAAATCATTCCACCTCTTCCAGAAATCAGAATCAGAACGTGGATCAGCAAACTGTGATGCAAATACAAAAATTGCACGAGCACGATCAATCTCTCCCAAGTTCCTCTCAAGTTCAGCATATTTCATGCACATTGTTTTAACAGCATTATCCGGAAGGCCAGACTCAATGGCTTGCTGCAAATTCCATTACAAATTGGATGTTAGAGCATTTAAGAAATGAGCCTATCCCAAGATGCAAATATAATCAAATCTAATCTAACAAGACCAACTAAATAGAAGGCTAAAGAATAAAATATCATGAAATGAACAGTTATATCTCATCAACGCTCAAGATGGGAACATAAAAAATCAACCTTCCTTCACTTTAAGTGGATAAAGTTTTTCTGTAAAGACTAGACAAATTTTAATAGATATATCATATATCAAAAGTAAACAATGTCATGTGATTTCAAGGTGTTTGCTTATATTCCTTAAAATGAGATATTGCTGTGACATGGAACTGCTGAGCACGAAGGCATAAAGTTTACCTCATAAATTTCCCTTGTTTTTGGAATGCCAAAGATTTCAGCAGCACGAGCAATGTAGATCTCATACATACTCAGTTTTTCGCCATCAGAGACAGCTTTTACAGCCTGATCATAGACTTTCATTGCCCGTTTTGCTAGCCCGTAGTCTTCCTCCAGTTTAGCATATTGCAAATATAACGGCTTCACATCTTGTGCAGGTGCCTAATGGAAGTACAGAAGGTATCAAAAAACTTTAGTGAGGAGAAATAAGTTTCACCCAACAATCATTAATTATGCTTAACTGAAAACTTCAAGCATAGTATAGACTGAGTAACATAGCTCCAACATTATTAAAATTTAAAATAAAAAAGGCGGGAAACACCACAAAGAAATAGTGAAAAAAGGAATCCGAACTCGCAATGTTTTACAGTTAATTATATGTGATATTAGATCTCACTAATACACATTTAAAGTAAGCACGACGAGGAAAAACTGATAAAGTACTTTGTCATAAGGGAAAACAAAATATTTAAACCATTAATGCCATGTAGGAACACAAGCGGTGAAGAAGGCCAGCAATTAAATTACTACAGCTTGGCCATTAATTTCAAGCCGAAAAAAGTGAACTTAACCCACCAGAAAAACTAACACTCATTAAACCGAACTATTAAATTAGAACTGCATGAATTCTGCTGTCAGGCAAAGTTTAACCATAAAATAGCAAATGGTCAGATGAAGAAACAAAACTATGGTTATGCAATTAAAAAGGGAATTGAAGAAAAAATATCCCCACATTACAAGAAAACGTAATCCAAATACAAATACAGCACCAAAACAAGAACTAAATATCATAAAAAACATCAAGATCAAATTCAACAAGCATGCAGTGAACAAAAATCAGAGCTTCATACTTTTACTTACAAATAAAGAAGACACTTTTTTTTCATGCTGATTCACAGAGAATTGATCACGCCGTAACATATGAATAATTAAAATTATTGCACACCTTTTCAATTGCATGCTCAAAAAGTTCCCTTGCCCGCTCTAGTTTAGTCTTTCCATATCTCTTCACAAACTTTGAAAGGTATGTGACCCATATATCTTTCACATGAGGGAACTTAAAGATCTTGACGCCTCTTTCATACACCTTAAATGCATCTTCAAAATACTTGTGCTCCTAATAGAATTAAAAAAATCAGTAACAGAAAAACTATCACATAATCATATTCTAATCTGGATGGTAGCAATGTTAATATTTTTTACGGAAAAAGGGAAAATACCTCAAGGAGAAATGCATAATTCAATACAATTTGGGGAGTAGCAATCCTCAGATCAAGAATTCTCTCATAAACAGAACGTGTACTTTCCAGTGTTCCTAAACTCTCTTCCAGATCCACATAAAAGCTCCAGAGTCTCAAGGACTTGTGCAACCTCATCTGCACAGGTTCATTACCATCCGCAGCAACTGCATTAAGTGAGACAACATTATAAACAGGAAAGCAAACAAACTACCATTGCAACTTTCAGAAATTGATCAGCAAAGCTATTTATGTTAACCAATAAATTTATGTGCTTCAGGTTCTCTCTCTGTCATTGGGTCAAACTCATACCCCAGTTTAACATGCTAAAAATGCAAAGACGTCAATAGCTACTTCTGATTTCCCATAAGCAAAACATGATTGCCATCCAAAAATGGCCTTGAGAACATTGCAAAGCCAGTTAGAAAAAGTGAGAAGAGTGAGAAAATGAACGAAAATGATACCATCAATCCATTGGTTACCTCTTCTTTTGACTTCAACAGAGGGTTCTGCAGTAGACCTTCTCATAAGCTCAAGAGCTGCCTGGAAATTCTTGTGCCTCAGTTCCATCTCAGCCCATTCACACCAAACACTTGCCAGATTGTCAACTGTCTTGTAGTTGACCTGTACAGCCTTGTCAAAAATAACTCTGGCATTGACTAGATCATTATGGTTCTCATACAACCGTGCAAATGAAACCCACAAAGTGTGGGGCTTCCCCACGGCCTTCATTGGGTCCACTGTCCTCACTGCTTCAGTGAACGTCAAGATCTGCCTGGTGGGGTTGCCCTCAAAAAGTTTCACCCGCCTGCATAGCAAATTAATGATAATCAGATAAGTATCAAACAAATCAATATTCAGAATTCAGGCTTGCATAGGCTTAATTGAAGGAAGATGTAGCTTAGAAAGAGAGTGGTGATGGATCACCTGTGCCACTGCTCCACATTATGTGGATTCTGCCTTAATAACACGCTGTTAAGCAGCTCTGGCCGACGATCAAAGAGGTTCTCCAGCCTTGCTAGCCTAAGATCAGCATCGTCATCATCATTCAACCAGAAATCTTCGAGAAACTTCTTTGAAAGTTTATCGATCCCATTCTTATCACCATCATCATCACTGCCATCTGAGCCGTTTTCAGCCGTCTCAATCTTAGCAGCGAGGGCGCTCTGCTCGAACTGGGCATAAGAATCGAATATGACTGAAAAATCTCTCACAGTGACAACATTTGCAAGGCCCTCCTCAAAGACATCACGAGCCTTCTCGTAAAGACCACGGCGGACGTAATAATCGGCAAGGGAAGTCCAGAGACGGCCAATCTCATCAGTGTACTTTCGAATTCCCCCGCGGATGATTGCATCGACCTTGAGGCCGGAGACTTCGGTGGCGTGGCGTGTGAGGAGGTCGCAGAGCTCAAGCCATAGCTGATGGCGAGTTTTGCCTTTGATAGAATGGAAGGAATCGTCGTTGAGAACAGATGATAGGCGCTCAGCGGCCTCCTGCCATAGCTGGGAGCGGAGAAGGAAGTCGATGAAGTCCTCAATGTGGGAAGGGTCGAAGAGAAGGTAGCGACGGTAAACACGGAGGGAGGTTTCCACTGGCACGCCAGAGATGGAGACAAGAGTAAGGTAGGGAGACCAGATGCGGTCGTGCTGGGTGACGGGCAGGGCGCACAAGGCACGGTCAAAGGTGTGGCGAGCACGCGTGATTAGGCGCTGCTCAGTGAGGGATGTGAGGTACATGATCCAGATGCGGGGCATCTTGTGCATGGTAACCAACGCGCGCTCGAAGGTGTTGTTGAGTTGGCCGTAGAGATCGTGGGAGATTGAAAAAGCGCGAACGCGATCGAGCCGCTCCCGCAGGTAAGCGTGCCACAGCTTGTAACTCCCCGGGAGGGCCTTTAGGGCCCGTTCGTAGATGACACGGCGCTTATCAAAGGGTGCATCAGCGCGGGCTATAAGGTAGCGCCACCACAGCTTCAAGTTAAAAGGGTTGCGGAGAATTTCTTCTTCGTATGGAAGATCGTCCACGGATGGATAGAGTTCCGAAGACATGAGCATAGCTTCCTTCGACGTTGAAGGTGAGGGCTCCGCCATTGTTGATGAAACAAATTGGAAAGGAGAAAGTGCTGTTTGGCAAAAGGATTTGAGCAGGATTTAACCTAAATCCAGCCAAACAGAAAAAAAGATAATTTTAAATTCTACAGCATCTTAAAGGGCTCTTTGGTTGCCGGTTTTAGGCAGGATTTACCAAACGGCCAAAAATGCCTCCGTAAACCCTGAGCACCCGTAAATCCCAAAATGACGCCGATTCTCGATTTACTAAATCCTGTGAATCGGCGGATTTAGTAAATCCGGGAAGATCCAAGAAGAAGAATGGCAAAAACAGTCTTACCTTCCTCAATGGTTTCTGGCAGGAACAGAGAGGAAGGATGAGAAAGATGGAAGTTTCGGTAGTCTCTGTAAGCCGCGATCCCTTCGTTTCTTCCCAGCTAGCTCTAATGGTGAATGTGTTCGTTCACGAAGGACATGGTTTCGAGCGCGGGTGTTTAGGGCAGAGAAGGGAAGTTCGGGCGAAACCCGGAGCAGGGGAGGAGACCGGAGAGGGTTTCGGGAAGGAAGGGGTGAAGAGAGAGAGTTGTGTTTTTAATTTGCCTTTATTTAAATTATTTTATTATATTAATTGATTATTAATTAATAAATAATTTATATATTATCAAATTAATTATAATTAAATAACTTATATCTATTATTTAAAAGTTAATTAATAATTAAAACTATGTTTCTTATTTTAAATAATTTAAGAAATTTTATTAAAAAATTGAATTTATATAATTAATAGTTAATCAATGTTAAATTATTGATTACAAAGTAATTGGTTTAAAAACTAAATTATTAATTTATATAACTAATTATTATTTAATATAAATACTTTTTTTTTTTTTTTACATTTTAAAGCTCACGATATTCATTTATATTTTTTTGTTTAAAATTTATCTTTAGATGTTCAATAAATCTTACTAAATTCTTTTAAGTCATTAAACATTTTTTCTTTGTTTTGTCTTAAAATCTTGGATACAATAAATCTCATTCGAATGTGGATTTATGTGATTTAGCGAAGCTAAAGGGCGCGATAGGAATTGCGAGAAAGATAGAGAGATACGAGGGTTTCGATAAGAGGGGAGTTTTACGGGAGTTCCAAAATTTTTTGCATGCCAGGATCTCATCATTGTTGCCTTCCAAGCTCCAATCACCACTCTACAAATTAAGAATTAATTATTTACCAAACTAATTTATTATTAAAAAAATATTATATTATTTACTTATTAAGCAATTATTTAAGATTAGTCAATTATTAATTTACTAATTTATTAATTTATTAATTTATTAATTTATTAATTTATTAATTTATTAATTTATTGATTATTAATTATATTAATTAAGAATGTATTTTAAATTGATTAACTATTAAATAATGTAAATTTTAAAATGAATATTTTATTAATTAATTATTTATAAATTTCTCGAATCATCATTAATTTGATAATATATTAACTATTAATTAATTAGTAATCAATTAAATTAATAAAATTAACTTAAATAACATTAAATTAAAACAACAATCCCATCCCCCTTCCCCTCTTTACCTGAAACCCTCGCTTACATCGCTCATCTCTCCTAGTTTCATCAAAGACCCTTCCCCTTTCCTGTCTGAAATACTTGCCTACATTCCTACACCCTCTCTCGGTTTCATTCAAAACAATTGCCACTGTGACTGAACCCTCGTGATGTAGTCATAATTAGAGCTAACTGGGAAGACAACGGCGGGATCACAACATACAGTGACCTAAAACTTCCATCTTTCTTCTCCTTATGCAATGCTCCTATAGTTAACCATGGAAGCAGATGGAGGAATGTAACATCATATTTGCCTCTATGTGCTAATGGCCCATCCTAGATTTACTAAATCCACCAATTCACGGGATTTAGTAAATCCGAAATTTTATGATTGAAACAACCCTTAAGACTGAAGTGTTTAAACCTTATGTTTAATACGTCAAAGCAATCCCGACAAAGGAGTGAGGGGTGTTCGACGTTTGTTGCACAAAATATCAAGATAATTTGTTTAAAATAAAAAATAATGTGAATCTTAATAATCAATTTATAGAAAATTAACTAATAATATGAGGAGTTTCTTATAAAAAAATGATCTAAAATATACAGCCTTTTCTTATAAATGATAATTTGATTTTATATAAATAATAATATAATTATGTTTAAAGTAATTTACATATATGTTATATGGCCATTTGAATATATGAGGATTACTTACCACACGATAAGCTTATATTATATATTTAATACCTCAATTTTTAATTTTACTTAAATATCACCCAGAAATAACTGGAGCCTCAGTTCATCCACTCTGTAACTTCGTTTATTGTCGCCATAATCCCTTCGTAGATTTTAGCATCATCGTTAGTAGTTCCTACAACGTTTTGTTCCTCCATTCTCTCTCGATTCCTCAGAGGTCTCACCTCTTTCCTTGTTGTCGTGTGGTCTAGTAGTTTCTGTAAGATATTTTAGGCTTTTTGCTAACCTTGAGGAGGAAAACAACATGTTTGGGACAAGACAAAATGGGCTCATAATAGATTAAGATGTCACAAAAGCAATTAGAAATCTAGAAAAAAGTCAAAGTAAGCAAAGTCACTCTGCCCGATTGCACATTCATGATGTTAAGGGCAATTAAAGAAGGGAGACCAAGGGGTTTTTGCCCAAGCAGATGCAAAGAAGAATGGGAAGAAAATCCAATCACATAAGAACCTCAATATAATGGTGCAGGGCCAACAACTAAAAAACAATTTTATGGCAAGCAACCAAAATGAAATCGGATGCACCCACAACAACTACCAATAAAAAAGGTTTCACTATTTATTAAAATATCAAAAAAATTAAATTTACAAAAGAGAGAGAGAGAGAGAGAGAGATAGAGAGATTAAATTTACATTGGATTCTAACATGTGAAAAGAAATTCTATTTTCCTTACTAGTATAGAAAAGTGGAAATTATATATATCGACTACTAATTGTGAACCAAAAAGAAAAAGCATTCTTACCAACTTAGGTTGTCATCAAACACTATTTTTAAGTAAAGTTATTTACTTAGGGTTGCCTTGCATGAAAAGTGATCCTACATAAAAATTTTTTAATGAGTCATTATTTTTTAAAACAGACTTTATTATTGAGTCATTATCATTGAAACCTTTCGAATGAGTCCCTTTGTGTCTTAAATCGACTCTATTTGGAGGCTCGTTGAGCTGACTATAGTTAGGAAAGAGAAAAATAATAATTTTGATAATGGATAATTTAACCATAATAACCTCAAAATGACTTCAAATCAACTTGTGACTTCAATTAAAGTGGTTTTAAAGTCAAAAATACATAATTTAAACTAATAAAATTAATTAAAAATTCTAACTCAAAATTTATCATTTTCTCTCTTTTAAAGGTTTAGGCTCACTTTGGTCGATCAAGACTTAAAATGAAGCTTGGTATAGCCAAAACCACTTATACTATTGAATTCCATGCATTTTCCTCAATAAAATGATCTCAATTTAATTGTTTTACCATTACCAACTCCCAACCACCTTGTAATCACCTCTCAACTACCTAGCCACTTCAACGCTTATAACTTGAGATAGAGAACTCCATTTTTGAAATAATTTAAACTATTGGATTCCTTGTATATTCCTCTTCAAAATGACCTATACTTGTATTTTTTTCATAACTACCTTAACTACCCTAACCAAATTATCCAAATGCCCCTCACTTTTTCAAAACTCACATTTATGCCCGTTGATCCTAGCCCTTCATTCCTTCTCTAGCTCCCTAATCATAGCTATCAAACTCCTTGATCCAAGCCTTCTCATTCTATTGGTCCAAATAATCCACACGCCTAACCTCCCATTCTCTCTCCTCCACCTCACCTCAATCCAAACTATCCATTTGGCCCCTTAACTCCCCTCCTTAATTCAAGCCCTCTATTTCCTTAACTTATTTTCCCCCCAAATCTCCTAACTTATCCCACTAATGTGCCATGATGCTCATTCCTCCCAAGCCACCTCATTCATTCCAAATTTGAATTCCACTAATCTTCCTTCTTCTCTCTAAGGAAAACTAAAATACCCCTTTCTCTCCAAGCAAACCAAAAGCTTTTCGCATCATCAGACCGTGAGCAAAGCAAGTGATTTCAACAACGCAAGAAATTCAAAATAAAAGAAGGTGCCATGTCTAAATTGAAATCTTACAAATTCTCCATCAAATTTTAAAATGATTTTATGTATCTTCAAAAATACTTGACAATCTTTAAAATTTACCATTAAATTCAAAATTTCATATGTTTTTTCTTAATTTTATGTATTGGTTTTCAAAATTCACCATAAAATTTCTAAAATATTTTATGTGTTTACAATATCATTTGATAATTTTAAAAAATCACCATGAATTTTTAAAACCCTTTATGTTTTATACATGTTACATGCTAGAAATTTAGGACTTTTGTTCTTTCATATTTTATGACTTATGTTATATGTTTGTTGGTCGCTAAATTAGAAATTGTCGGTCGTCGGAATGGATATCCCGACGTCCGGTTTTAAAAGCTGTTTAATTTAAATTATATATATAATTTAGAAAAAGTAATATTTTAACTTTTTTGAAAATATAAGATCGAATCTATCTCATATTTACAACAGTTTAAATGATAGAGCACAACACCGCAAGTAATGCATACATCTCGATGAATAGACACATAACTTGTTAGTGAGGCTTGATTAAATAAACTACAGAATTTATAACATCCGTTTGGCCTACGAACCTTTATATTGACCGACAAGTTCTCCTATCTAATATGAAAGATTAGATAGGATTTATATTACCTCGGTTCTTAAAACTCCATATAGAGACAAGCCCCTATAGTCAATTACATCTTAAATGACAAAAATCATTTTAAAAAACTCTTGATTTAGATCAGAAAATATTATCTTCAAGGAATTCAAAAGAATATAACTTTTCAAAGACCGGACAAAGAGGTGTGAAATGGGAAAAACTCAAATTTGGAACATTTATTTTGGAATCCAAATAAAGAAGAACTAAGGGATGTCACGGATCCTCAGAAGAACCTCGGTGACTTCCCATGTTATCCTAATGTTTGATTTCAATTTCTCGAGAAAATTATTGAATGTTTCATCATGCTGATTTTATTAATTAGGGCTTACATTTATGCGAAGCGATCTCACAAATATCCTAGAAGATGTGACAATTTAAGTCGTGAAAATTGAAAACCTCGAAATTCTAAAGCGAGTTAGGGCTGATATTGCACAACATGATTGTACAAAAGCCTAAATATGAGTTGAGGATTTATGTCACACTAGGCAGACAACCTCAAAATCTTATAGCTCGTAGTTTAATTCTAAGGGAAAAGATGTGTTGTTGTAGATCCTCGTGCTGTTGTAGATTACTATTGTAGAAGAATGCCCACAGAGTTAGCTCCAAGTTCCTCGACAAAAGTAGCAGTCCTAAATTCTAAGGTTTAACTGGTTTAAATTACAAGTTTAAGTTC